ACCGCAGCACCGACTCCGAGGCCTCTTCATCCGCAGACGACGACGACTTTCGGTACCACGTTCACGGCGGCGAGCTCTGGGATAGCTTCCTCGAATCAGGACCTCGTGCACACCACCGCCACCACCACCCAATCTATCAGACAGACAAGACTCTGGAAATGGCGGCGCCTGCGGTTTCGTCCTTTGAGGCCCTGTGCGCCATTCCACCTGTCGTCCCGGCAAAGGACTACCCGGCCTTGATCGCCTCGCCTCAGCGCATCAAGAGACGCCCCGTACCAACCCCCTCCCCTCAGCAGAGCCCCTGGCCGCTCTCTGACCAAGGCCGCCCAAGCCAACCGCGGAAACCATCGCCAACGTACTCCGTGTTCCCCAAGACGGTCACAATCCCGTCAGGCACATGCACAAGGCAGAGCTCGAGTTCCCAACTGTCCACCACCAGCAGCAGCGTCTCCGTCCCTGCCACGGACGCTCCTTGTCCCCCCCCTCCCCCCAAGGCTCTTCCTCCTCCTCCTCCTCCATCGTGTCTTCCTCCGCTGCCTCCTCCACCACAAAGACCAGCTGCTGCATCGCACTATCGCTCATCAAGTCCCCGCCCGAGAGCCTTCTCTCCGGCATCATCCCTCACGACGCTGCATCGCCCCGCGACCTCTCACGGCTCGCGGCCAGCCAGCCCCATGGGACTCCCCTATTCTCAGCCTCCTACTCCTCCGCCAACCGCACCGCTACCGGCTCTGCCGCCGCTCTCATCGCGATCCCTTCACCCATCAACTGTTGCTGCCTCAAGAGCACATAACCTCAGTCATGCCGAAGCAGCAGCAGCAGCTCCGTCTCATCCCGCGTCTCAAACCCGCCGTCCATACATGTACTCTTGCTCAACTCAACAACGCCCACACCGTCCACCCCCAGAACCCCTCCCCCGCTCCGTCTTCGAATACGACACAGACTCAGACGACGAGGACAACAACAACAATGACTCCTCCTCCTCCGCAAGCAGCTCCACAGAATCACCCACATTGTCCTTCTTCCGCCTCTACAGACGCAGTCAGAGTCCCAACACAAGCGAAAGCTTCCTCTCCTCTCGCCGCCGGGGGTCAGCTTCGAAAACCCCTTTACACCAGGCTCAGAACAGCCAGCAGCAGCGGCAGGAGCAGTACTTCGTCGACGCGGCGGCTACTGCGGCAAAGGACCGGAGGAGGAGGCGCAAGAGGACGAATACCATGGATAGCTT